GGGGATGGAGATGTCACGTTGGATCCCTAGGCGCTTTCGGAAAATTGAGAAAACCCGGTGGGCAGCATCGATTCGGAAGACAATGTCGTCCTCACCCTGTCCGTTTGGTAAATGTCTCGCTCTGAGGTATTTAAAGCTGACGACTCCTTCAAGCTGGCGGCCAGTATTCCCCAGGGGTGCCGTCTTCTGATTATGGATGCGGCTCGATAGTAATTTGGTTATCCCGGTATTTATGAACAAGCCAACCAGCATAGCAATCTATTTCACCCATGACCCTGCAGACTGTAGCTCACCAAAGCTTGAAGTCAGCAGGGCGATACCATCGGCGTCCTCCTCCTGTAGGGCCTTCTCGAGAATCCAGTCAGAATGGGCGACAGGACGCAGCATTGGCGAACATCACACCGGATATCCAACGATCGAGAGGAACTATTGAGGACCAGAACTCGCGCTGTGGTGAATGGATAGTGGACCTTAATCATGGCAATTATTTTGGTCGATACTCGATCTAGTTCCATTATTCGCCACAAGGACTCACGATGGAAAGAATCTAACGCAACGGGGAAGTCAACAAAGCCGTCAATTTCTGATAGCCATGGGGCAATTCAAGAATGTTCCTCAGTGCGAATATTTGGCCCGCACATCCATGCGCAGCTTAGAAGCCGGCTTAGTTAGTCTGGTCCTACAGTCTCACACAGACTGGAATCTTTTGAGTAGGACATCATTGGAGAACTTCACAGCAACGTCGCGATCTTTATCGCACTTCGTCTAATCTTCATTTTGAAGACAGGCATAAGGATACCCGAACCCCAGTTATTATACGGACCTTCTTCCTTTCTCCATGCTTGTTCGATCGCCTCATGGAGCCAGGGCACCAGGATGTGAACATGAGACTTGTGCATTTCAGCGGAAATAGCGTCCTCTCCGGATGCCTTGTTCTTTCGCAGCCTCTGCAATACGTGGGCAACTTCGTCTCCGGAACGGAGGTTGCACGACACTGCATAGGCTGGGGAGGAGTGAAACTCCGCTTCGGAGGAGAGCGAGAGTGTGATGAGTTGCTCATCGAAGGTGCTCGAGGTATTCACGTCAGCGATCGACCTTGGCCGAGCTGTCAGCATTAAAGCCACCATTCACATCGTGGACAGAGTCGAGGGCCTACCACCAACCTGGCGGGTAGAGTTTTCGAGTGTCACCAACACTCGAGGCTTGCTCCACGGATATCACTGTTTTGCACCAATACTTCGGCTGCCAAATTCCTCCCAATTTCTCTCCACTACTTCGGTATAGAGTATACTATTTCTCCCACCCGGCGTTCGACTTCTTCTCTTCCCATACGGAACTGGAAATTGCGTTGATGAACGGACCGTGGTCTCCGAACCAGTGGTCAGAAATTTGAGACGCATAAACAGCCACTTTGCCAGTCCATACGTTGGAGGGCCTTTCAGTGATACGATGTGCAAAGTGGACAGGCCATAAAAACGGGCCATGGCCGTTTATTGTACTCTCACCACGTGTCTTGCACACGGCGTTATTGCACTCGAGTTCTCTAATGTCAACAGGGATGAATTAATTTCGCGTGTCCGCTTTGTGAGGGAGTTGGTTTCACGTAAAACATAAAACTGACGATCATTCAGTACGTTTTTGGCCTTCTGAAGGTAGTTTGTTCCGTCCAGTATGATGGTAGAACGTCCCTTGTTGGCTGACCCGATGAAGATGTCCCGGTCGGCCTTTTGTGCTGTTAGTGCATCGCGTTCGATCTTGGGGAGCACTTCGCGCGGTTAATAGGCAATCAGGAGGGACGATACCTGGTGTCGGATATGGTTTTTCGTCTCCTCCGTCATTTCCGTCTGATTAATCAATGATTCCACGGCTGCGACTATGTTAGCATCAGTCTTGTTGAATGAGGCTTCCTTTTGAAGAACCTGTATTTGCTCCTTCGTCAGTTCTTTCGAAGAAAGGTTGTATACCAGTATGTCGTTTCTGGTTGAGGTTGGATTAAGCATTTTGCGAAATTTGTCTTCGGTGTTGTTTCGTGAATCGCCCATTCATTCATTAGGTTGAAGTATTTTTGTTCTGTTTTTGCCGATGAACACACAGCATCTGGTCTTCTCTTGGTTGATTATCTGACGGTATTTACGCAGCCTCGCGCGGCAATCTTGAATGATCGCACGCATCATTATTTTGCCGTCTTGAAACATTGCGAGGCTCGCCGGCTCCGTGTTCGCCAGGAGTTTCTATGTAACGCACTTCGGCAACACGTTACTGTCAAGGCACCTATACAAAAACTGGATCTGCGCATAGGTTGAGGCCTCGCGAAAGGTAAACGTTTCGCATCGTCGGACAAACCGGAGCGTATCGCGCCCAAGTGAATTGCCAATACAGGCGAAAATGCAAGTCTGAGGAAGTA